TGCTGGCTATCCCTCAAAATGTTATTTGAGTCCAGGTAATCTACCATTTTCTCTTTGATTATAGCCTCCATAACTTTACCAGTTATACAAGTTAGACTGATTGGGCCATAGTTTGACAAATTTCTTCTATCCCCTTTTTGAAAATGGGCATTATGTTGGCATGCTTCCAATCAGAAGGTACCACACCTTCAGACAAGGATTTTTGAAACAGTAGAGTTAAGGGTCGGCAAATAATATCCCTCATCTCTTTTAACACTATAGGTAAGATGCCATCATGGCCCTGTGATTTATTTATTTTGAGCTAAGCTAGGCTTTGCAAAAACATCAGCTTCAGTTATATATATGAGTTATATATATATTTGCAATGTAAAATCTTGTTTTGGATATCATAAAAGAATCCTGGAAAAGCTAAAAGAGAAAAATGACCAGCAATAAGGGACTCTGCTGAGATGCCCTCTAAATGGTGACCAAGAGTTAACTTTAATCACATCTCATTTTTCAGTTTCTTCAACCTTGCTCTTATTTTGCAGGCGTTTTCATATTCAAGTATTTACAAAAAAATTGCATAATATTTGTCAATTATGAAAGTTTAGTTATTGTACTCAGACTGTTGCTACATATAATCGAAAGACTCAAGTATCTGCAGCTGCTGTTCAGGAACTCACAAAGGACTTACTTGAGAGGGGCTCTGGCATACACCTGCAACCAATCTGGGATTTCAGCTGTATGATACGGATTGGCAGGTACAAGAACTAGTTGGTTCCGGTCCATGAGACGAGGCTGGTAGGTCACTGGAGGTGGAAGTGGTGGTGGCTGGTCATAGCGAGGAACACTATATTGGAAACAAAAGGACCAAAAGCATCAGAGTGGAGATGTGATTAAGGTCCACTTCAGACATAACAGCAAAATTCAGCATGTACCTTGGGGCACAGGGATGACGATACTGTGCCCTCTTATTTATATGATCAACGTAATAGACTCCAAACTCAGCAGACTCTACTTTTTCCCATCCAGGTGGCAATCCTTCTCTCTCCAGTGGATGGCTCCAGTGTGTTGTATTGGTGTTGTGGTCAATATAATATTTCCTCCCTCGAATGGTCCAATCGACAGTCCAGCCAGCTGGAAGTGGGAGGTCCTCCCCACTTGGACTTGCTAGATTTCCCAGAGATTTAGCCTGAATATGCCCAATTCCTGGAGAATAAAGAATAAGTCTATTGAACTCTGAAGAATCATTATACATTGAAACTCTGATGGGTCTGCTTTAGAAATACAGGTACATTCAAATGGCAGAATGATAGCAATAAGGAGCCAAGTTGTTGAAAACACCCTAGTATGGCCACAAATAAACATAAAATGGAAGCATTTTTCAATGGCTTTGCAATTTCTCAGTTAAATGATCCGGTATGTATAAAACTTGTCTCCAATATTTATTACATATGTAAACAGGATGTGGTAAGATTTACAATTTAAAAGTTACTAATACCATTTCAAAACCAGCTGTAGGCAGCAATTGCCATTTTCAGTATCATCGCTTATGTTGAGGTGTACATTCTCCATTATATTGGTTATAACTAGGGACCAGTTGCAGGATAAGTGGTTTCAGAGTTATTGCAAGAATCATGACACAGCACTATGTTTACTTCCATTTATTCTAAAACAAACTGGTAAGCACCTGTCACATGATGCCTGTGTGTTGAGGCTGCAACAGTACAACAAAAACAGCGATGTAAAAAAGTGATTTCAGCCTGCATAATGCCTCAGCGCTCGCTTTTGTTAATTCAGTCTCAGTGAATCTCAACTTATTGACTAGATCTTGAACATTTAATTAACCACTTTTTTCAAAAATGGTTAATTAACATTAAATTGAATGAACATACCTACATTCCAATTTGACTGGTTTGTGCAAAAAAAAAAATTGCGGATTGTGATTCTAACCAAAAATGTCATATATGGCATGACATTTTGGCCATATTGCGCACACCTAAATACAACTATGTCCCTGTCTTAAAAAGCTTACCCCTGACATTCTATTACTAAAGAAAAAAAAACAAATGTTATGTATTTTGGCTCAACTTGTGGGTCATTTGACTGAAGAACTGGAAAGGACAAGTTTAGAAAATATCAACTTTTGCCATGTTTAAAAAACTAGCATCATAACTTAAAAAAATGTAAAATAGCAGCATCAAGTTACATTGATAAAGCACAGTAACCCAAACATGTCAAACAAACAAGTGTGGGGCACAGAATTATTGCACTATTCAAGGAACATTTATAAAGACAATTTAGAAAATGTGCATTTTTTGCAGCATTTAAAAAAATAACATCATAACTTTGAACTAGTTTTCAAAGACCAACAGCACATTAATTTAAGCAAAAAAAAAAACAAAAAAAACAACTGCACCCAGTGTTTTTTGTTTGGTTTACCTCAGTTCTTTTAGTGTTCAGTGAGAGAAATCTAGCCTGTTTTGGGCTTGAACAAGTGCACTGAAATCTAGCCTCCTCAAGTATGGGAAGATTTCCTCTTTAAGAGAGGAATAAAGTTGTACCAGTGATAATGACTTAAAATGCTCTGCCAGTAGATTATCAGACTGCAGATCAATGAGTTCAAGCTGGACATCACTGGGTGCATTATCCACACTATAAGTAAAGGGAGAAGAAATCATGTGCATTTCACTCTCAACTGTTTTGAAGTCTTCAAATCTTCTTGAAAACTCACCATGCAATGCCCCTAACATGAATGAATACTTGTGGAGGTGATCAGCTGATAGTACGACTTCTTTCAGTGTTGGCAAGTGAGTGAGAATGTTGCCCTCTAATTGACTTGAAAGAAACTTCAACTTTCTCATGAAAGCTGTCACCAAGCTGTACATTTCGTGTGCAAAGAGGCCCTTGCCTTGCAGCTTGGTATTTAGTGCATTCATTAGTGCAGTCACATCAACAGCAAAGGCCAGATCTGCCATCCAGTGTGTATCTGAGAGCTCTGGAATGTCCTTGTCTTTCTTTATACAAAACTCGTGAATCTCTGCTCTCAGGTCCCATACCCTTTTAAGCACCTTGCCAAGGCTGAGCCATCTCACAGCTGTCTGGTAGCCTATGTCACTATGTTCACTTTCGCTCATATTTAACTGATCGCTATCAGTATGCACATGTGAACAACGAATCATCCAAGGCCACCAAAGTCACATACGGTGTCCCACAGGGATCAGTACTGGGCCCACTACTGTTTACCCAATACATGCTACCGCTTAACATTATTAGAAATCATGGTGTTGGGCTTCATTGTTATGCAGATGATACACAGTTATATATATATCTGTTAACCCTGATGATACATCACTCCTATCTCGGTTAGAAGATTGTCTGTTAGATATTCGGTGCTGGATGGCAAAAAAATTTCTAATGTTAAACACAGAAAAAACAGAAGTACTGGTGATTGGTCCCAAGGCTGCAAGAAATAAGTTTCACCACCTCAGCATTAGTGGCCTTCCTACACAACCTAACACCGCTGTGGTTAGAAATTTTGGTGTTCTAG